TTTTACAATTAAAAGTATCAAAACAATTAACGCGATGTATACCTTAAGTATTTATATACGGTGATTCATTGAAATATTATACACAAAATATGGAAGTAAAAAGGTCGCATTTATTAAAACAATCTTATGAACGACCTAAATATAAGAAAGTAGAAAATATATATTTTAATAGACAAATAGGCAAAAATCGTCTTATCCGCAATCTCCTATATACGTGACTCACTACACAGGCTTTGAAATAGAATAATAATATTACAAATTATATGGAATATTTGCAGACCTATTCATGCAACAATAATTGTTACCAAAAAAATGTGTTGAGCTAAACGACTATTATCCTGTATGTACCCGTATGTATTGTATCTATGTATTATATGGCAGAGGTGAAATACATTTAAAGATGTCGCAAAGCTTATTGTAATTTTGCACTGATTAAAAATGAAACTGTTTAAACTGTTTCTGTAAATATATCTCCTACCATACCTACAACACCATGGTTCCACAACCTTGATATTCATCGAAAATGCATAACATCGTTCTCCCGCCTCCGGTTTGGACATACTCGACTTCCTTCTCACTCCTTTAAACTGTCACTGAACGATTCCCCTTACTGCACACTACACCATGACCCTATGGTCTGTGATATTAACCATCTACTCTACATCTGCCCCAGCCTATCAACACATCGTGACCACCTACTATCTATTTTGAACACCTCCAACATCCCTTCCGATACAATAAATATTTTTTCTAATAAACAAAAAAACATCATTTTAAGTATACTATCTTTCTTTAACCATTCAGGCTTTTTAATCTAATTTTATTTTATACTGTTCTAATGCTTTTGTAACAATAATTGTATTTTATAATTCGTAATTGTTGAAACTAATTGTATTTACAAAGTTTAAATAAAAAAAAAAAAAAAAAAAAAACTGTTTCTGTATCCGTAAATAGATATTTAATTGTTTTTGTGTTATTAGATATTTATATCCGTTGATAATATCAGTTACGAATTACGATATCTACTAAAACAGTTGGCTGTAGGATACTTTTAAGGAGCATGTCTTCATATGTTTAAGAAGTCTTTACAAAAATAAAATAGTCATAATACATTTTAGGAGAAAACATTGAAAACATAGTGGAAGAATTTAATAAGTAATATAAATAAGTATAAATTATTATTAATATAATACCTAAACTACAAAATAAAACCAAAATTATTTGAAAAGTATTTGAATATTTACTCAAAATTTTTTGAAAATATTCTTTACAACACTGCATATAATTTAGAATTTAATCAAAATACAAATGTTTTTGCAGAACATATTTTTTTATTTATTTATTTATTTTTTTTGAATTTAATAGAAAAAAGTTAAAATCTATATACATTAATACAATAATTATTAGTGCAAAATATATACACAAGGTGTGAGTAACATGAAAAAGGAGTTCATTGACACTGCTTCAAAAAAGAATATAATTAAACATTTTATTTCTTAGGTTTTTCACGCTTAAAAAAATCTGTTAATAAAATTGAAAAACAACAAATAGTTTGACTTGTATAATTTGTTCTGATATTTAAATCAAAAACTGATGCATAAAACTTTTGTTTTAGATATACTACCAACTGTTTGATTGCAGAATAAGTAAAAAACATTGATGTTAAGTCAACCACTCTCTATTTGATGTTCGAAATTTAAAATAAGTCTATGCAATAATATTAATGTCATTATTATACTTGAATCATATTCCTTGGTTTTTGATCAAAATTACTATATCGCTAATAGTAAATGAAAAAAAAAAAACGAATATATTATTCAGAAAAAATGATTTTTCGGCAAACTTCTGAAATATTATTATTTTGAGTAATTACTGATATATGATATTCATAATGAAAAAACATGTAGGGCATGTTATATTAAAATACGTGCCTCGCAGTAAAATTACGAAAACCTCTAGAATTCCTATATACTCGTAATTCTGCGTGACAAGATAGAAAAATGCTAACCTATACAAAACGATATTTTGTGGTTTTTAAAAATTGTACATGTTTTAGTCTGAAAAATAATATGACAGGATCGTAGTAAGCAAAAAACAATTTTTGAAATTACAAATAGATAATAATTTAAATATACACGTATTAAATAATATCCAATTGCTGCATGCAAAGCATACCTATACATGCAATGTATTGTGTAAGACACAATAAATATTAATCTTTGAATTGCAGTTTCGACAAATATTTATTGGGGACTGTCTGGGGTATGTTTATTATTTATATCATGAGTGAAAGGAGGGGAAAGAAACCTAAGCAGTAGTATATTCCTTATATAAAGCTAAATTATAGATTATATACCTTGTATTATTGGCACTACCGCAACTATAATTCAAATCCGTTCAGAAAAAGCAGAGTTAGTAGTCTGTAAAAAGGGCATATAAATTATATTATAAAAGTCAAAGGTATTTTCTAATCATTTTTAGACGATAGTAGAAATAAACAGTTTTCGTTTTAAATTTTCAAGTTTATTTTCAATTATAATGTATAATCGATCACCGAGATGATCTTTCAAAAATAAATACGGAATAGAGTATGTGTGCGTGTGTGTATGTATGTGATGTGTGTGTCAGTCGCGTATACATAATTTTTGTATTACCTACACAAATCATAATTTTTATTTTATCATATTTTTTTTTCGTTTCTAACGCCCTCACGCTAAGAATATTATTTTAAAACATTTAAAAAAAATGCTTAGGATGATATGACTCTCACATCCCCCCTCGTATACGCAATTAGTGTGTGTGTGTGTGTGTGTGTCTTATCGATATTATATATTCTTTCATCATGTTTTTATCCAAGTCAAGGGACGGTGGTGAAAAAATATATAGTTGCCTTCGAATCTATCACTTCCAAATTATTTAAATTGTATTTAAAATAATAAAATTATACGATTAGTTCCAAAAAATTACATTTAGCCAAAATTAGTTTAAATTCTAAATTAACGTTAAAGCTATACTGATTGTTTAAGTAAAACAAAATGGGTATTTGACAAGGTAAGGTTATTTGATAATCAACAACATAGACATTGTTCGATGTATTATAATAATAGTGTAGTGTAGTAATAATAATAGTGTCAATGTATGGATTACACAGGTATAATTTTTCACTGCACGCAACTATACCTATTTCATGTTTCATTGCGAGAAAATAGTAATTCAAATCGAATATTCGATGAAATAAAAAATGCACCGCTGAAATCGAGCCGATGCACGCACATAAATTTATACAACAACGCTATGCAACAATATCGTATAATTCGTGTCGAATTAAATATTGTGAAATCTGACCGTATCCGTTGGTGTTAGGTCTAAGATTACGGGTACATATAATATGATCTGTTGAATAAATAAATATTTGCCGTATGCACTCGTCGTTGCACACTCAAATTATTATATATTTCTAGCGCGTGTTTTCCGCTCAATTGGTGACATGTGGATAAAAAGTCGTTAAGACCAAAGGACCGGAACATAGTTACATGGTTTTACGATAATAGGAGCAGAGTATGTGAACATCCTATATTTGACTACCACACCACATCTTAATTACATTTTTAAAATCGTTCACATCGTTCACCTTTCCGGTGTGCTAAACTTGTTATTTTATTTATGTTTATTTATGAATGTTATTTTAATTCGTCCAGTTGACAAAAGGTCCTATTTCAATCTAATTTGAATAATATTTGATTAATACTGAAATATATCATTTTGGTAATTCAATTTGCGAATGAAACACTTCTGTATCATATATATATATATATAAATTTGCGCTAATCTGATTTTTCAGAGGATGCTTAAAAAACGTGTAAGTATATATATAATATATATTATATGTATATTATAATGTACAAATAATTAAATAAACTCAAGTTTATTTTTTTTTTGTATAATTTTGTAGTATACTAGTCCCAATGAATATGTTTTCCTTGAATCTCGTATACATTTTTCAGATAGATTCAATTATTTATGATTCGTACTTTTGTAATTCATTGTAGCTCTTATATTATCAGAAGAAAATTTTGCACGAAAATTGAAACATTTTATTTTAATTTTTCTATTATGAAACATCATTTATATTTCACCAAATATTTTAAAATAAATTACATTTAATTTGAGCAATATCAGTTCAAATACAGGCTCCTTACTTTAAACTTAAATTGTATGGCGTCATCTATGACATTTTGGGGGTTCCCGGGAATTCTTAATTTAAAAATTAGCAGCCTTCAATATTATCCATAAACACTCGTCATATTTTTAATATATTTATATAACAGTATGTATTTATTTTCGGTTTATTTTCTTGTATTTATCTTCTATTTTTGCGGCTAACAGTCGTCTTATTTGTGTTAATATCCCATTAAGGTGCGTTTATATTATAGTTTAAATGCGAACGAATACAAATATTTATTTATGGATGAACTCAAATGTGAATTCGCAAACCTTTTCGTCGAACCATTAACATTTATCGTTTGGCAATTGCTAGCCTTTGCTCCCAACAACCCTGGTCTCCGAATACAATTACAACAATTTTTTAATGTCATCAGACTATTGGACTCAGTATAAACTATCACCACCACCACTTATGGGTACTACCGCCCAACCAAAATATGTGTCGCTGCTGCAACACATGGACATAGGGTTCGGCGCCACTGACAGAGTATTTACATCGTACAATAGATTATAACATTAAATAGCTATTAGGATGACTATATATTTTTAAAAAATGGTATAGTTTTCACCCTCCCCTTTCCATACGCATATTTTTCATAATTTAAATATTAGTATATAACATGCATATTATATTATAATATGGGTAATGCGTGTTAAATTGACCATCCTAACCGAAACGGTCAATAATTATTATAATAACATATAAACTGATATCATCGTCGATGTACACAAAATATATTTATAATAATAGTTTTTTCTTCTTTTTTTTTTTTCAGAAAATATCGTCTGCGGTCATCCTCCGGTTCCGGTCAACGCCAAACTCGTCCGCGACGGACCTAAAGCCTCATTCGTTTGCGATGACGGTTATAGACTCTTCGGGTGAATATCACTATTAATATAATATATGTGTCGCGTTATCGTACATTATACACATGTATTATAGATTATAATGTTGTCACGCTATATGCTACACGACACGACTGTTAAGTTCTAACGTACATAACAATGTAGCTTATTGATACGTTTGTATCGAATTATGTATTTACGGTCTCTGATATTTTTATTACAAGTATTAGTTTTAATTTGTTATTATTCTATACAGGTCCGAATCGATTACATGTTCCTCGAACGGTGTTTGGACTGGAGACCTTCCGTTTTGTGGTAAGTCCGATAGCGAAAATAATATAGGAAGTATGAATTATGAATGAAAACAACAGAACATACAAATCTCAGGATTTGTAAAACCGGGGACGCCGGAATATAATGTATTTTGGGGGGGGGGGGAGCAAACTGAGGGTAGCCTCTAATCAACCACACTATCATACTAATTCAATTTTTTTTTTTCAAGACAACAATTATAGTTTTCGTGGTAGGATAAAAAAAACAATTCAAGTTATTTTAAAATACTCAACAACCTTATAAATAAGTAGTTGTAAATAAATCAGTAATTTAAAATCACTCAAAAAACCATGCAACTAAGAACCACGTATCATAATGACATAATAATATTACGCAATAATGACTAGGTACTGACTAGGCATAAGCTGTACACACCAGACACGACAGTATCAATACTATAGAAACAATACTTTTGTCGAAAATAAACAAGGTGCATAAGTATATAACATAATAAAATATAAATATTAATGTAGATAACACGTTTGGTTTTAACATTTGTTTTTCTTTATTATAAATAGCTCGGACGGGTGAGGACAAATTCTGTATGGCACTGTAGTCTTAACTTCAAATCCATTTTTCACTTATAGACAGAAATACTGTGTTAACAGATAATCCCATGGTATATTTATTTAATTTAATCTATGATTTTAGTCATAATAGATTATTATTATTATCGAAAATATTATATATATCCAGTCCAAATTCTTCTCCAAGCTGTTCCACATGAAGTATTAACCAAGTTCGTACCTATATTTGGAAGGATAAAACATACTCTTTGCCCCTCCACAAAAAATCCGAAGGGGCACCTGCCCCTCTTGCCCCCACCCCCCCTTGGTACCGACGTTCCTGTGTAAAACTTACATTTTTCAAAAATATTATCACTGATTAATAATTAATAAGATTTACTATAAAATCAACAAACCTATTAATTTGTGATCACTTCAATTACGAAGATACACATTTTTAATTTAATTAAAATAAAGAAATAGTTTCAAAGTTGACATTAAGTTGTTGAACAACAACATTTTAGGAATAATATTTACTATAAACATAACATTTTGCTATATTTCTTAGTCATTTATAAATACGAGGTATCACAAGTACCTAGTAAATCGTAAATCATTAAAAAACACACTTTACAAAACCTAGTTGATTGGTTAGTGGCTATAGTATAGGGCAAGGATGTCGAACCTATGGTAAATTTTCTATATTTCAATGGTATGCAAAAAAATTGAAATTATTAACAATTTCACATAAAAAAAAATATATGCTATCAGTGATATTTAGTTACTGTTCTTAGTTCCAAATCTGAACTTCTATTTGGGATACTCATAATATATTTTAACTGATGGTAAAATATTAAAGGTTTCATTTTTAGAATAGTTTCTATATTTTTAATGCATCATATGTCAAATATAAAACATATTAATTTTTGTTATATTTAAAAAAATATTTTAATTAAAAACTCATAGGTATTTCCTTTTAAAATAAAGCTGAAAAACTAACAAACACAACGGTACTTTTTTTATATATATTTAGTTAGTACCATTTTTTTTAACTTAAAGTGGTAACCACTCTTTGTGACAACAATCTTAGGAGCGGCTTAATTTTTATCTATTTCTCACACTTTTGCCGCTGGATGCATATACCTTACATAAAAGTTGTTTGTTCTTTTGTATTGAATCTAGCCGTCTGTGCAGTAATTATAGCTTTATTTTCAATGCCACAAATTACAAAAAATTGATTTTTGTCATATATGTTATGGCACACTATGTATGAAGGGGTTAAAAATTCCGTAGACTCATGATTATCATCATTTTCGTTAACTACAACAAATTCAGAAATATAATTTAATGTGTTCTTATCATTCTGTTATGGTGCGTTTTTTTTTTTTAATAAATATAATCAATTTTATTCAACCGATGTCTGAAGATACATAGACATTGTCATTGCCATTAGGAGGTGGAGGCAGGAAAACTTTTAAGGAATTAATTTATCATTATACAAATGTACAGCCCAAGAAATTTTAACCGAATTAATGTCGTGACTGGTGCGTAAATCATTGCTATACGTAATAATTATAATACTTATTATATATATATAGTTACACGTTAGTCTTCATCTTGTAATCGTTTCACGATTGTCTATGCTGTTTTTTATCATACGAGAAATAAATAAATAAAAACACACCGATTTGAGCGTGTAGAGCCGCTTCCTGGACGAGTTATACACCGGCCAACTTGCTATGTAATATTACCTACATATATAATACACATTCATTAATTAACGCTTGTTTTTTTTCCTGTTGCATAACGTGGTACGAGTACCCATTGCCAATTGTAATACTTAACGTTTTTCCCGAGTATCTACTTATCTGTGTACGATATACGTATGTTTTAAATTTAATTATTATGTATACGGACGAAATATAATTACACGCGTTCTCTCGATTACGAAACTAAAACATACACGAGTAAAATACGAGAATACGAACTAGAATAGGTACTTTTCCAATTTTTATCCACTAATTTCTAAATACTTAAGGTACAAAAAAGTTCCTCAGTTAATTCCTTAATCACACAACAAACATAGTAATTTATAATTAATTCGTTATAAACTCGTACATTTTAAATGACAGGTTACTGTAGAACTTTACACCTACACTTTAGCCAAGGTAAACTATGTATACTCGTAGTAAATAATAGGTACCTAGTTTACAACAGCCTTTAGTCTACAGCACAAGCATAAAGCAAAAAGTAAATATAAATAAAAAGCAAGATGTACAAGGTATCTACCTAGAATAGAAAATATTACCTAATAATAATAATAATAAAATATACTACCGAGATTTCCAAAATTATCAAAACGAAATGATAATACCAGATATTTTGACTAGGTTTGACCATTAAATGACTAAAATGTTTTAATATGTATGGGTTTGATTCGGTTATCAATTTATCATATTATTAACTTGGTACTTCGTTAAAAAAAAAAATTTATAATTGAAAATAATAGTAATAACACTACAACAAAATTAATAACAATGCGCATATATTATACGGTCCATTGGAGAGCGAATACTTGCATCACCCCTCTCCTCCTACAGCTACGCCATTGTCAGAGTACATATATTAACACTAACGAAAATCTGTGTAGCAAATTAGAAATATGATTTATCACATACACTCGTATTACCCAACTTGATAGGTAAACCCGAATAATTAAATGAAAGTCTTCTAATCGACCAGGATCTAAGCATAGTCCTTGTAACCAAACACACAGTTAAATTTGAACTTCTAATAATAACTATAAATCTTATAATAATTACAATACAGTATATTATAAGTATATATCATCAAAAAATAGTAAATCCAATGGAGTAGCGTACTTAGTCTAGAGTTAGGGGAAAAGTTAAATTTATAAATAGGATTACCAAAATAAACAAATATTATCTTAGAAAAAATTGATTCTTCCCAAAAATGTTTAACCTGTGTATTTAATTCATATCTAAATATTCGATGTGTCTTTACGAGTTTCGATGTATAATGTAACAAACACAATCAACATGTCAAATACCATCATACCTAACCTAACCTAATTTGTAGAACCAATCCAATAAATGATCATAAAATTTAATTTCCATTTCCACACGATTGTTTAATCGCGTATGTTTTTCGAACAGGGACCAACGTGGCAGTACACAAGCCAACCAATCAGTCAACAACGGCCAGGGGTGGAAGTTCGGGCAACGCCAACGACGGAGATCCGACAACCGTGCATGACGGTCGAAGGTGTACGGAAACCCTCAAGGAACCGTCTCCATGGTGGACGGTTGACTTGTTGCAGCCGTATCCAGTCAGAGCGGTATCCATCACGACCCGAGGTTGCTGCGGTGAGTAAACCAAAAAAAAAAAAAAAAGAAAAAACGTGACGAAAATGTAGACGACGACGAAGGTGAAAAATATATCTCGCTCGTGTAAAAACCACAACCGAAATTGTATACAATTATAAATAAGTATACACAAATTGACCATTCCGACTGAGTGCCAAGTTAATAGTCTTTAGAATTCTCTACAAGTCACATTATCATTATTGTGCGCGTCGTGAAATATATAAACGGCAAACAAACCATCCGGTGTTATGATGAATGTGCTAACACGTATTTATAGGTACAACGCTCATTTTCATTCGCAACTAAGTCATCTATGTATTAGATTATATATAATAATCAAAACAAAACCATTGGATTTTACAGTCAATTTTTATTTAAATATTACAAAAAAAATGGCGTATAATATTATTATTGCTTTTAATAATTTCGATCATAATATAATATTATAATAGCCCATGGGTGAGAGAATATAATAAAAAAATAATCATCCAAATCCATTTCATATCTAGTTATACATGTATAAGCTATAACTATACATAACTGTTTAATAAAACGTATATAAAGAGGCTATTCATAATATTATTATAACAGTGTAATAACGAGATGTTGTCTTTGTGAAAATAATACATAATATACTATAGTAATTATTACACAATTACTTACAGCGGGACATTTAAATGAACACGTTTTCTTTCCATTTTACATTTGTACGATTTATAAACATGTTGTTCGTGAATTAAAAAAAATAAACGTATATAAAAAACTAACACCAGTTCAAGTGTCGTATTTAAAAAAGAAAAAGAAAACGTTAACAAATACACTTTACTTGGTAAACAAATCTGAATAGTGTGTTGAAACAACAACCACAAACTACTTATATATAACGACTTTATTAAAATACTTGTGAGTATGTTTTTTAGCCTTTAAAAATAGGCACATACAACAGACGCTCGTTCACTATAAACTTATTTATATAATATATATTATAAACTAACCGACAAGTTTTTCTAAGAAATTTTTATATGAAAAAAAATAAGTGGCAGAGTCTCATCGCTGCTAGTGTCTACTATTCGACGTCGGATACGTCTAACTCCTTAATGACTGGACCTGTTTGCGGTCTCCTCATGAGATTTTTGCCCAGCTCCGGCAGTTTTTTGATGAGCAACTCGAACACGCGTTCCGGTAACGTCCGTTGCAGCACGTTCAACAGTTCAGTCGGCTGCCCACAGACAACGACGGCATTAGCTAAGTGCTCTACTCCCTTTTCCACGTCTCCTTGTTCCAAATACGACTCTCCCATTTGTACCTCCTGCAAAAAGAACCTTTGCACGGCCTGTTGGTCCGAGAAGTCCGGGAACGCTGATTTGGCGGCGCGCGCAGCTTGTTCTTGTTCTTTGGCCATCAGACGCTTTTTACGCAGGTTTGATTTGAAATTAGGATCACTGCGACGTTTGCGGTCGAAATAAATGCAATAACCGACAAAACATAGGCCTGCGAAGCCTGCGGCGGCTGCACTAATCGCAGTTTTTGATACTTCGGTCTGAAACCAAAAATAAATATATTTTATTATTACTGGGGAACGAATTTATATGTAATAAAAATACAGAAATATGTACATATGTATGTAAATATAATTTATAAAATACATGCTAAAAACAGCCAAATATGGAGGAAAAAAAATTTAATAAAAAAAAAAAAATTATAATTATTAAATTATCAAATATTAAATGTCGCTTGTTAGATCTGAAAATATTTTTAAAACGGCTAAATTATCGTTCCACATTAACCTACATCGGTTGATTAAAGCATAATTGAAGCGCATAATATCAGAAGGCGGTAATCCATTTTGGGTGTCTGTCACTCATTATGTCATTGATTGATTGAAAATCAATATAGCCTGGAATTTTTTTCTGTAACAGAATGAGTTTTCTTTTTTGCAACATCTCCTATTGGTCCGCTTACGAGTTTTCATTTTGCAATCGTTGATTCAACAATTTGCATACTTTCATTTAAGGACATATTTTTGTTTCTAATTTTTGTAAATGTATGTGCAATAAAACTAAAATTCACCGAGATGAAAATTAAATTAGTTTTTAATGTTTCATTTTGCACAATATTTTGAGCTTTTCTAATAGCGATGAAAGTTACTGGATCTAAATTTGAAATAATTTCTTGTACTTTTGTACGAAGAAGACGTATGGATGATAAAATGATAAGATATGTTTAAAAATATTTACAAATTACTGAAATATGTAAAATAAAAGTAGCATCATATTAATAGGAATGATTTAAACCATGAACATTTCTTCGAATCTTAAATATCTCTTTTCAATAAAAATATAAATATATTTATAATTAATATTAATATTAAATAATAATATTTAATATCAATATTAATTTTATTAGTTATAATATAATTATATTTATATAAATACAAATCCGTTCCCTAATTATTACTTTCTATCAAAAAATCGCTATAGAGTATACAACAATCTAAATACATAATTCCATATATTCCAATAAAATAATCCGAGAGTTGACATCAATTGACACATTTATCATTTTACAAATTATGGTTTGAATACAAATATTAATATAATCTGACCATCACAAGGTTACAAATAAGACAATGACATGGTATTATCAAAATATAAATAATATTAATATTATTAACAATAAAAAAAAGTGGTAGGGTAACTAGATATAATACAAAAACTAGTTTCGAGTAGTAATGAACCTACTGCGTTGTATCGCCCACAACCTTTTTTCGTTTAATTTTTTTTTTAGTTAATACTTTAACAGAACGTAAAAACAATAACTGGTCAACTATATATGTTTGTACGCCGCATCCGTTTCAGTTTTTTTCCAAATGTATATTTACCACAAAAACAACACAATAAATGGGGAAAATTAATTATTTATATTTGTATTCTGTGTACATTTTAACCGTTGAAAAGTGCATATAAAGTTTCATAATATTATCGAAGAAACTAACAAACATATGAAATATTTAGGTCATCAACCATTACAAGACATAGAGATTAGAGTTGGAAATAGTAGTACAGAACTGCAAAGGAATCCATTGTGTTCATGGTTCCCAGGAACAATAGGTAAGATAAATATTTATTAATCACCTATTTTCTACGAGTGAAGAAGTGACTAATAACACTACATAACCGGATTCGGATTTCGTATTTTAGAAGAAGGAACAACAAAAGTTTTAAGTTGCGCGCGACAAATTGTTGGACAGCACGTGTTTCTACAATTGGTGGGCGTTGAAGGATCGTTGTCTTTATGCGAAGTCGAAGTGTATTCTACCGAAGGTTAGTATCCCCATATACTAATTTTAACACGCATTCATTTAAAAAACAACCAATTCGTTTGTATTATGTACGTATAGAATTCTCTATCGATCGCTGCGCGCCGGGAAGTTCTTCCAATGACGTGGCTGTCTTCGACAACAAATGTTACGAATTCAACGTAAACCGGGGTGCGTCATTTGCAGAGGCACGGCAAAAATGTCAAGCGACTAGTGGGGACATTGTGCACGGCTTTCGGGGGTCATCTTCGACATTTCTAGCAGCCGAACTCGAACGGCGGAAACCCAGGTTAAAAACTCAATTAATTTGGATCGGAGCACAAAAGGAGCCAGGATTGACCTCAAGGACGTGGAAATGGGTGAATGGTAAAAATTTAATGCATTATTTAACTATACCATATATACACGACATAATCAGGGCCGTCTCGAAGGGGGATCTTAGGGAAGTGTCTCACCCCCAACGAAAACACCAGTTTTATTATTATAGCCTAGGACCTAATTTTACTTACAGAAAACAAGTATTACATATTTCGTAATACAGTGTATACACGAATAAAATTTATAATAGCTATTTATTATACAAGATAAAATATTGTATATATATATAATTAAACTGTCAATTTTAAGAACATGCGACACTGAAACATATATACATGTTAAAAAGTAAAAATACGACTACATATAGTTAATTATACTACATGCATTGAGTAAAAAAATTGTAGTCAACATTTTTTATATTATTCAACCCTCCCCCCCTTTGATTTTCATCATAGGGATGGCTCTGGACATAATTCACCGATTATTAAAAAGGGCATACGAATAAGGCAATGTATTTATATCATCATCACATATTATACGCATATCTACATAATTATATATACATTTTCTACTGCAGGAGACGTGATAACGAAACCGACGTGGGGAAAAGATCAACCGAACAACTACAACGGCGAACAGAATTGCGTAGTACTTGACGGAGGGCGTGAATGGTTGTGGAACGACGTAGGATGCAATTTAGATTATTTACATTGGATTTGCCAATACAGTAAGTGTCTCGATTTTCAGAGTTTTCATCCGTTATTAGGTATATGATTTAATTAAGTATCTAATTCACGTTTGCAACTCTATTTTGTAGCACCAATGACATGTGGAAGTCCCGAAATCAAGATAAACAGCACAATCGCAAGTCCGTACACCTTTAAAGTGTCGTCGGTCATAGAATACCAATGTCCTGAAGGACATTCTACGCAGGGGCCGGCCAAGAGAACGTGCGGAGCCAATGGGTTTTGGACTGGATCGGCACCGACGTGCAAATGTAAATACAAAAAAATTGACCTAAGTTTCAGATTAATCATGTGATTCCATAGGTGTAAATTTATAAATAAATTTATTTTTGTACAGACGTCGATTGCGGGCCATTGAACGGTATAGAAAACGGTACCATCACGTTAGAAAATAACAGAACCACTTATATGGCGATTGCTAAATATTCTTGCAATCAAAATTACAGTTTATCAAATGGTGACGCTAAAAGAACGTGTACCGATGAAGGAAAATGGAGTGGACGCACTCCACAATGTTTGTGTACGTAATTATTTTGTGTTAAAATCTTGTATGAGTATTAATCAGTATGTATTACGTCATAAATTATAATTTTTTTTTTTTAGTCGATTGGTGCGGAGATCCTCCTGAAGTACAGGGAGCCACAATGAACATAATGGGTCATAAAGCAGGATCCGCTGTCACCTATTCGTGTCAACAAGGATTCGTAGCTATCGGTGGACAACAGGTTAGTACAATCAAATATTGACCGTTTTGTGTATTTTTTAAACCAAAATAATGTACGCGACTTTTCAACCATATAGGAGTTAAAATGTGGACTTGGTGGCGAATGGGTAGGAAAACCGTTAGTCTGTAGGTTTGTAGACTGCGGCCCACCACAAATAATAGAAAACGGATTGGCTACGTTAATCAACGGTACCACGACACACGGTAGTATTGTTGAGTATACATGTGAACAAGATTATTGGCTTCAACCTCACACTAGCCGTCGTCAAATTTGTACCAAAGAAGCGAAATGGTCCGCAGATCCGCCCACGTGTCAATGTAAACATTGAGAATATTAAATTATATAAGGTTGTTTATTATATAAGTAATTAATTTTTTGTCGTCGGTTTTTATTGACAGTGATTACTTGTCAAGAACCCGAAGTGCCTACAGGAGGTTATGTGGTTGGCTACGACTTCAATATTCACTCGAGCATCGAATACCATTGTGACCCAGGTCATAAATTGATTGGCATATCGATTTTACAGTGTAATAATAATGGTGAATGGAGTACAACACCACCAGAATGTCAATGTAAGTAACCTTACTAATTGTGGTTTCTCGTCTTTTAATAAACACTTTTAATATTTAAACCATATTACTTTTACACTTACCCCTATTCATAAAAATATAATGTGTTTGCAGATATTGATTGCGGTAAACTTACACCACCGGTTTATGGTACATTACACTACTCCAATGATTCTACACACCTTGATAGTGAGGTCAAATATAGCTGTAGTAATAACTATAGATTGACCGGAACAGCTATACGATATTGTCAAGAAAATCAAGCATGGAGCGGGACAGCTCCAAAATGTGAAGGTAATTTACTATTTTACTAAAAAAATGAAGTCATAAAGAAAAATATAGATATAGATCATATAGAAAAATATAGATATAAATCATAAAGAAAAAAAGCTAATGAAATTAACAACGCATTTACTTTATAATTAATATAAAAATATAATTTTTTTAAAAGAAATAAGATGTCCGGAACCAATTCGTCCAGAACACGGAATATTATCAGTAACAGGCAATGATCGTTCATACGGACGAACTTTAATAAGAACTTCTTCTGATCCAATTTCAACATCAACATACAAAATTGGAGCACTAGTAAAATATCGTTGTGAACGAGGGTATAAGGTAGTCGGGGAACCAATTAGTAATTGTGATGACACTGGTTCATGGACAGGTGTAATACCACAATGTGTTTGTACGTATTCAATTTTATTATTAATAATAATAAACTACATATTAGTAATAACTATTAAAACAATGTATGTACTGTTTATGTAAAAATGTAATCAATTTATCTGTGATACTTCCCCAGCCTTCCTAAAGGATTATTAATAACATACTAATACATTTTTTAGATGTTGATTGTGGAACTCCTGAGAGTATTGATAATGGAAAATTCAATTTAGTGTCAAATGTTACATATTACGGTTCAGCTGTATTGTATGAGTGTGATGAACACTTCCAACTCGATGGACATGGAAGAAGATTATGTCTTGAAAATGGTACATGGAGTTCAGAAACGCCAAAATGCCAAGGTATTGAATATATTAGAAAAATAGAACAAAGTCAAATTTAATTATATTAACATATGTGTTTGCACTTATAAAGAAATTAACTGCGATGATCTCAAAAGCGAAAATAATCTACTAGTCAAAGTAACATCAAGAACAGTTGGCGGAACAGCTGAATATACATGTCCACGGGGATATTTCACGATTGATAACAACACAAGACATTGTTTGCCAAAAGGATCATGGAGTGGAAGACCACCAACATGTCAAAGTAAAATAGAACTTTTATTTAATTCAAATTTAGTGTGTACAATATATAATTTTTATACTTCAATTAGTGGTAGACTGTAAACATCCGGGTGCAATTGAGAATGGCAGAGTCATAATAATGAATGATACCACAACATATAATAGTGCAGCGGAATACCATTGTATTCCTCATTTTCAAAGAATGGGTCCTTATATGAGAAAATGTTTGGATGATGGACAGTGGTCAGGAGAACAACCTTATTGTCAATGTAAGCAATACATATGAATATATATTTATATTTAATAACAATAAATGTTAAAACTTATTTTTTAATAATTTCTACATAATTTTTTGACAGTAATAAGTGCAGCAATAAGTGACAATAGAACATTAAGTCTAGCTGTAACTGTTGGAGGTGGCATTGTTTTATTCCTAGTCATACTCCTTGCATTAATATATTTAAGACTGTAAGTTTATTTATAATATATTTAAATGAATACATTTCATCTAAAAAATATTATTTTATAATAGTAAAAGACCTACTCCAGTCAAAAATACAGAAAATGTTGAAGGAGCTGTACGAAAAGAAGAACAAAATACAGCAGTCATGTCATATGCTTCATTAAGTGATGTACAGAATCATATTTATGATTCAGTAACAGATTATACATATGACGAGCCAAGTAGTTACTATGAGCCATCCCCGGTCTCTAAAGCAAAATCAGATCACTCTGGAGCTACTGTAACTATTAATGGTGTAGCTATTCGATAATGTTCCAAATTTATGATTTAAGATATTTGTAATATTTGTATTATTGTAAATATAGTAAATATAAATTTATATTAAATGTACATAATTAGTAATAGTAAGACGTAACAAACCACAGAAAATACACTAAAAAACATGTTGATTTGGAATAAGAAATACAAGAATTTGCATTCTTTTATTTGAGAAAAAGCTTTGTTGATTATGTCTCATGAATATATTTAAATTGTTTGTACACTTGAATTATTATTTAATATGTAAAATGAGTGAGCTGTGAGTTATATTAAATAAGTCATAATAAATATTAAGTATTTTATAAATATGTGATCCGTTTTTGATAAGTTAACACTTCAACTATAATTATTAAAAAAAATGATTGTCAATTGAGTATTGAGGTTTTTATATTAATATTCAAGAGATATATTTATTCTTGTATTTTAATAATTCTCAAATAAACTATACTTGTACTTTAATGATTGTATCAAATATTTTTTTGTTACTAAAGACATGCTATAATATTTTATTCTAAAAATAATTATTTATTGAATTATACATATTGGTTTTCTTTTGTATATTTTGTTATTTTAGATGCATTTAAAAATAATGATAAATGATTGTAATTGAATGATTTTGATTTAAGGTCAATATAACATTGTTATTTGGAATAATAATAATTTGAGCAAATGTAAATCACATTTAAATTTAGTTTTTGTATCAAACTCAGACCTTAAAATTAAAAGAGTAGAAAATAATATTATTTATTTTTCATGATTAAATTTATTGGTTTTAGTGTTTAAATAAATATATTCACATTAATAAATATACTTTTAATTTTAATTTTAAAAAAGTGAATATAATATAATTTGTTTTAATAATATTTAATTATATTTTTTTTTAACAAATAGATTGATTTAATATTTGAAAAACTTCATTGATTTTCATATTATAATATAAATCCAATAACCAACATTAAAAGTATGATGTAAATATAAACATTTATACATTTATATTGGTAGATACATATATATATATATATATATTTAACACAATATGAATTAGAGGGGGGACATGATATCATTAAGTAGTATGAAAGGGTGCTTGTATCTCAAAAGGTTGAGAATCTTGTTTTATAATATGATGAAATTCACAGAATTAATTTTTTTTTAATATATTTCTTACACCCATTAATTTCTATGATGGTGACAACACAGCTATCTTCAAATTAAAAGAGAATTATCATAAAGATACAGATAATTCTTTGTAATCCAAAAAAAAAATGTCACTAAGACGATATCACTGGAACACTAACTATTTTACGAACAAAAATGTATTCAATGTGACCATGACCTACTAAAAAGAAAAACATTAAAATAAAATAACATTTTTATTAGAAGAATACCAAAAAAAAAATATTTTTCTTTTTCTACAATGCATTAGGATTACAATTATACTAGGAAATAATGTATTATTAACGTATTAATAATAATAATTCTAATAAGTTTTCATGATTTTACTGTTCTTAAGAATATAAATTAAGTAAAAAGTAAAACAAATTAAATATATCACAAATACCTATATCACAGAACAATAGTTTTATCAAATATCTGAGGTACCTATGAATGTTTACAAATGTAGTGAATACAATTTATATAATAATATATCAGTATGGAACATATGGGAGAGAGACAACTATTAAACTGAATCACAACAAAATATGTTTAGTGATGGATGTTTAGTTGTCTATTAATTATCACAATAATAATAACCAACTAGGCTTACATATGTATGTATTGTATTCATGCATGTAACTTGAGAAACTTTTACTTTATCTTAATATACAGTTTACTTAGACTACATATACTTCATCTACATTATGATGGCAAATACCAATAAAGAAATACATTTTGATTAATCCATTTTTTTTTTAATGTTTATACGTCTAGTTAATAATTTAAAAATTATACTTTTCTTGATAAAATAATTCTTACAAATTTAAAATTATTTCATAATTAGCATAATGGATAACAGATACATAATATGTCATGATACCTTGTACATATACTATAATATTATAAACATTATCTAAAAAATTATATTTAATGTATAATAAAATATTTTTAATAAATATTATTTTACCTAACTCAATGAATTTTAGAATAAGCTGAATTAATCAATAATTTACTTTGGACAAAATAGAAAGCTAGAACTTTTACGAATCATTTAATTAAAAATAATATGTCAATAACAAGGACTAAAACAGTTTATTTCCTTAATTGTGTATTATTTATGAAGATTAATCACATAAAAATTGAAACAAAAGTTCAATACCAAATTTGGATCAACTTTTCTCATTTCTACTTCTTTGAACAAATAAAATAAAAGCTATTGAATTGAGTACATAAATTCTAAGTAATAAGGACATTCCAGGGAAATTTTCTTTCGAAATTCAATTCAGTAGCTCAGGACATCAAAAATATAAAAGATTCTACTTTTGACTATGTATATAAAAAAGAGAAATAAAAAGGTTTTGTGTTGGTAAAAATAACTCTTATTGAATCGACAAATTGAAAAACATTAATTCAGTAAAATCTACAAAATTGTGTAAAATCAAAGCTTTGAATCTATTAAAGGTATAAAAGATAAATAAGGTAATACCAAATGGTGAATAAATGTAAGACAAATAGATAACTGTAAAAGATGGAAGGAATAATTGGTTTGGGCACTTTATAATATACAGTTGCAGAATATGAAAATTAATTCGAAAAATTTGACAATAAAAATTATTTAAGCAAAAATTTAAAAACCGAAAAAAACCGAAAAAAATAGTTGATAAATTTATATAAAAAAAAAACTATTAAAAAGGATAATCTATAAGTATTATTCAACAAGATTAGTCTGTCTTAGTTAGGTATTATTAAATATCAGATATTAGATCTAAAATTAAAGCAGAAAATATTTTTTGTAATGAAAAATTGAAAAATAAAATAAATAAATGTTCAAAAATAAGTATAGTCATACTTTTAATTTATACTCAAATTTTAAATTCAAACTTAATAATATTTCGTTAATAGACACAAATATCACATAATATAATTCATAAAATATAAATGTTCTGTTAAATAATCTTATCCAGATATCAATAATTCAATTTATTACTTTTTAAGAGATGTTTAACATTCAAAAATGTACTTGAATTTAAACACGCTAATGTTTAAATATAATGAATAATAAAAATTGATTTATACACCTAACCTAACTGAAAAAATGGAAAACATTACTAAAAAATGTATACAATTACTGTAATACGTACTATATTTGTAAATGTTGATAGGGGATACAAATATTATTGAATTGATATTACTCCAACAGACCTTATGATAATCGGCCAGAATAGAGGTCAAGGTCAATGTTACAAGCCCTTTACCTATCCTACAAGCGACAACGAAAAATCAATAATTCTGGATAAAGTCTACGAATCTCGTAAATGTTATTTTCCTATGATAGCGGTGGCGGTAAGGACAAAACGCGGTGGTGGACGGGTGGGAAGAGGTGAGGACACTGCTTACACACACGGTTTTTACATGACCATATTAAGTAATAATAGATCGAGGTACGAGCTTTCACAACACCGTGTCCATATAAGGCAGAATACACAATTCCACCAGTATGCGCACATGCCGTCACGGCATCAACAGTCCATTTACAGTTTCAAAAACCGTGGCGAAGCCGATTCCATCACAAGACTGACTCGGAAATATTTGAAGGTTTATACACCGGGGTAAGTGACACATGCCGCCGATTGTGATTGTTTTCATTATTTGGGGTCGTTTATTTATTATTTTACATCCCACTCACCGTTATCATGGCGAATTCCCGTCGAAACGCACGCGCTATCAGAGGTATTGTCGAGGTGGTGTGCAAAACAGTCGTCCGTCGCCGCCGAACAGTTTAATGGCATAAGCGAAAAACCCAATTACATACGATCAGCGACGTGCGCGGTCCGTTTTCATCTCGTTTTCGTCTCGTGCGGGTTAAACTCTTCGCAGAAAACGTGGACCGGGTGTGGGTCAGAAATTGTATTTCGTTTCTCACCGAAAACTATAACGCAAACGAAACACTATAGCACACGCACGCTAATACACGGGCAGCCGGCAGGGGGGAAATGATTAACGTTTCAGTGTGTCCACATACCAAGTAGTGAAACCGACCTCGAGGTGGTTGTGCTAGAGATGGTCGTCGCGTTTCTCCGCCCGCCCCGCCTGCAGAGATTTTTTCGCCGCATTTCACCGCCAGACATCACGTCGGTTTGGCAATAACAAAAGAGATAGTGCGTATCACCATGACAGAGAGACATTATAATTTTTAGTATCATACACATGTATCTCAAACACCCCACCTATTGTTACTGTATGTAGTCCACCGTAGTGACTCACACCTCTGCGGGGCTTATCTTCGTAGACTCTCACCGCCGCCCGATCCCAGACTGCCATCGGTATTTACAACGAAAATTTTCAATCGTTTTCCGCACATCCTGACTTACGCACGTCGTGCCGTCCGCAAACCATTTTTGTTACGTGTCTTCCCGACAGACGTCCGAGAAGACATTTTTCCTTGCAACCTGTTACTTTTTAAGACTTCAAAATTGTAAGTATTAAAAACACACGACTACCATTAAAGGAAGGTAAAGAATGTTATAATTATTGGTGAGTCATTAAACATAGAAAATTATATAATCGCCTTTACTTCGAGTTATTCAATGATCAAATCGTTTTCGTTCGTTTGTATACATTTGGCGTAGACTACACGATTTTTGGACTCCTACATTCTTTCGGGTATCATACTCAAATGGGCAACGTCTTATAAAGTTATTAGTATCTAGTCACCGTTACTGATTTTCTTGTCCTTGAGACTTGAATATACGGCCTTTTTTCAAATTTGTATGATTAATTTAAAAATTAATTATTATTTTCTCGGACCATTATGTCGACACATTTGAAATGTTATTTTTAAATTGGTTTGCATTATAATTCCTTTATTTTTTTTATCAATATTAAAACATTCCTTTTTGCTGACTCAGAGTATTTAATGTTCTGAACATTGATAACAATATTCATTTATTAATCTTAAGAATTTCTATACACCAAAATTTATTTTATTTTATGAATTCTAAGAAAACTTTGTTGAGCTAGTTACCTATTATTATCTAAGTCGGATAATATAGTAAATTAAATTCATATCTAGAATAATTATAAATTAATTAATTCGATATTATCCTTTTAAAAATATTTTTCATATTTTTCCATCATGATGTTCAAAAAAAATTGTTTTTGTACTTTTCTAATAAATCATATTTTTCTTTTGTATATTATCCAAAACAGGTGCTGAAATCTTTGAGAATTATGAAACCTCAAATAGGAACTCATGTATAATTTTTTAAGTTAACATTTTCCATAATTTTTTTAGATTTAATAATTTGTATTCAGGGTAGAATGGGCCGTAATGAAATTTCCCAATGAGCCAGTAATTGTTTATAAAATTAAATAAAAAAATTATTCAACAGAAGAATAAGGTATTTTAAAAATAATTCTAATATGTATATTATTTTATTTGGATTGACCTATATTACTCATACATTTTTAAACCATTAGTTTATTTATCACTAGTCAAAGTAATATAAAATTAATAGATCATGAGTTTTTTATTTTTTTTTGTAATGTTAATTATTAATTAATTTTATAATAAAATTCTGTGATAACCATTATAATATTTTTTATAATTCAAATAAGTATTTAATTTTTAATTTTATGAACACTACGCATAAAGTTATTTTTCTATAGTAAATATCATCCTGAATATAAAATTATTAAATTGTTTAATGATGATAAAGCCAAAAAAGTAAACTTCAAATAATGTATGCTATATTTTTTTTTTTTTTTTAATATATATTAGTTAGTATTTAATAAATACTAACAAGTTTTTAGATAAACTTATTGAATCATTATATGCATTTGGTATCATGTGATTCTGACTTACTGTATAATAATTATGTTTGATTTCTGTTTGTTAAATTGTTAAAGGTTATCATCAATATTATAATCAAAATTAAATTTATATTTTTATTTAATTTTTGCATTAAAAAAAAAAAATATTACTGCCATTGTTACATTAATTTTAGAGCGAATCAAGTATGTCACGGAAAACGGCAGTGAGGAGGGCAACCACAAAGAAACGGGCGCAGCGTGCCACGTCTAATGTGTTTGCCATGTTTGGGCAGGCACAGATACAAGAATTTAAGGAAGCATTTAATTTGATAGATCAAAATCGTGATGGGTTTATTGATAAAGAAGATTTGCATGATATGTTGGCTTCTTTAGGTTTCATATTATTTTTAATATAACCATTCAAATATATATATTTATATATTAATGAGTATTAAATAATTGTTTAGGCAAAGACCCAACTGACGACTATTTGGAAGGTATGATGAATGATGCACCTGGCCCAATTAATTTCACTATGTTTCTTACATTATTTGGCGAAAGACTTCAAGGTACAGATCCGGAAGATGTAATTAAAAACGCTTTTGGTTGCTTTGACGAAAACAATGAAGGTGTTATTAATGAAGAACGTCTCAGAGAACTTTTAGTTACTATGGGAGATAGATTCACAGATGAAGATGTATGTATACTTAATTTATATTTCAAGAATATAATATGCTATATAATTATAATAAATATTTAGGCCATGGATTTAATTAAATGTCCTGACAATTTTAATACTTCGAATTTATAATTTTGAAAAATAATGAAAATTATAAAAAAAAAAAAAAAAAAAAAAAGTAGAAGATTTATAAGATATTATAAATCACTTTTAGTAGAAAGAATTTTTTTATTACTTCTATAAGATAATCTTTTTTTTAGGTTGATGAAATGTATCGTGAAGCTCCTATTTCAAAGGGGATGTTTAATTACATAGAATTCACACGTATTTTGAAACATGGTGCAAAAGAAAAAGATGAAGTTTAACTTTTTTTTTTTTTTACTTGCATATCACTTTATACAAAGTTTACTCCACGATATAACATCTTAATTTTTAAGAGTATTTATATTTATATAAAAAAAATGTATTATTTAATTATAATCAATACAAAATAGTGGGTGAAATAATTATTTATTAAGTATATATAACCATTTTTATTTTTTAACATATACTTAGAAATTTTTCCATTTAGAATTATTTATTCATAAAAATTGCATTTATATACTTTTTCTGTTACTCTTGGCTATAAAAATATATATATGTATATGTATATATATATAACTTTTCTGTATAATTAATAAAAAAAAATTTTATACTTTTAATATTTTTATCTGTCCTGTCTATAATATTATTTATTTAATTACTTGAAAATTAAATGATTTTAGACCCAATTACATATTTAAGTATAATATAAATCTAGCAATAATAACAATCATGAGGAATATTAAACCAGGATTATATACAAATTGAAAAAGGTAAAACAAAAATTAATCATTATCAACAATATGAAATATAATGTAGGATATAGTTATATCATGTAATATGTAAAACTAGATTAATAGATACATAATTTTTAAATTAATTAAAAGTGGTAAAACAAAAAGGATCAATTTTATAGATATTTACAATGAACATAATTTTAGATACTGCAGTGTTGGTAAGTTATAATAATTTATACATTTTAAATAATTCCTGTTGATAATTTAAATAAAAACTATTATTCAATCTTGTTTTTGTTGGAGAAGCTTGGAATATTAGTTGATGTAGAAGATCAGGATAATCAATTTGGACAGTTATTAATTTATAAATGAAATATAAATCAAGTCTGATTCTCTATTCTAGAGTTTCGAGATTAAGACTAATAAGTAGAGGAGTGTAAGATGAATGGGGAGTTATTCTAGGTATATTACATTTATAAGCTATAAATCATAAGAATTTATTTTGAACTTTATCTTACAATTAAGTATTATTTGGAGACCAGATAACAGAATCGTGATCTAGAATTGTTAAAGGACAATAAAATAATGTTTGTGGGTTCTTAAAATTAACTACTAAAAAAAAATATAAATAATTTGTAAAAGTCTTACTGAATTAATTTACTATATTTTATGTCAGTATTATAGTTATTGGCAAATTTAACAAGGATCTTATATGATTTATATGAAGTACTTGTGGTTTTAATTTCCTTACTACAAATAACAGTGTTAAAAAGTATAAATAAATTTTATTTTCTATAAATGGACTACAATTAATTGTAAACATAAAGGTATTTATATTATTTTAATCATAAATATTACAATAGATTCTTGACAGCTTTATAATAAATTTAAATAAATCTAATCGCACCATCTAATCTAATAACTTCTCCATTTAGAAATGGATTATCAACAATACTGATGACAAGCTTTGCAAACTCTTCTGGATTTCCTAATCTTTTGGGAAATGGTGTCAAGTCAGCAAAATAATTTCTAACTTTATCAGGCATATGTTGTACTAATGGAGTATCAAATAATCCTGGAGCTATTGAGCAATGTCTTATGCCTTGAGATGCCATATCTCGTGCTAAAGGTAATGTCATAGCTGATATAGCTCCTTTACTGGCAGCTAATGCAACTTGGCCCATTTGTCCGTCATAAGCAGAATATCCTGATGTATTGATCACTATTCCCCGCTGTCCATTTTCATCAGTTTCATTAGCTCCAATCAAAGCAGCACCTAATCTGATAACATTGAAAGTACCTACAGTGTTCACCATAATTACATCAATAAATTCTTCTAAACTATGAGGACTGCCTTTATTAAAGTTGTAAACTTTTCGAGCAACACTTCTACCAGCACAATTTACAATCAAATCCAATTTCCCATGAAGTTTTTTGCATATATCAATAGCATTTTGAACATCAGTTTCTGATCGGACATCAGTAGGAATGAAATTGGTACTTGAACCAATTATATCAGATACAGTTTGTCCTTGTGATGATGGTAAGTCACACATTATTACTTTATGACCATCTTTAACAAGCCGCTCAACAGTAGCTTTTCCTAATCCTGAAGCTGCTCCAGTAACCAAACTTACAAGTGTTTTAGACATGGCTAAATTTTGTAATCTATAATAAAATACATAAAAATTATATTTAATAGTCCAATTTGTTAATTTAAGTTTAATTCAAATCTGTTTTACCAAAAATTAATTGGCCATCTAGTTTTATTTCATAACAGTAAAATTATTATATGATATAACCATACTCAAGAATAAGTTAAGTGAAATTTATAAAAATATTAAAATTATTAATTTATACAAAACAATATGTTATTAATAATAAATAAAAAAAAAAGTTTATTTAATTTAATTAGATTTCTGATACAGTATTGATGATCTATAAATTGTTTAACATTTATGTTAGCATCATTCTGCCTTGTGTATAATAGAGCTTGATCTTTCCCTGCTGGCTGATCACCGTCATAATGTTAATCTGAAATTTGTTAATGGGTTATTGTCTGGTGTGATCAACTCAGCAATTCTCCAAATATTTATTTATTTTAAAGTTGCTCTTCACCAAACTTGTTCTAACATTCCATTTAATTTACCTAAATCCCCTACAAATGATATATTCAATAAACCACTTTTTAAATTAATGAGTATTTGGACCCTTCATTTTTAATACAAAATTCTATGATATAGTTGTATATTATATATTATTAATTTATGTTAATAATTTCTATTAAGTGCGGTACTTTCAATAAGGAGTTATATAAATTAATTAGATACTAAATAAATAATTTGTATTAATTATAAAGCATAAAATAAACTTTCTTCTAGACCAATCACCAGAGGCGATCCATTAATGAAGGATTAAGGAAAACAAATATCACAAGATATTTAGGCTAGCTAAATAACAATCCAATATGTGCCTCTTAACTAATGCCTAATGACTAATTCAGAATTATTTCGACTGATCGAATATTATTATACCACCATTAGTCGTACAAATAGATACTTACGTTAGAGTATAAATGTATAATACGATTCGTTGTTTAAGTGGCAACTAAATAAATCTAATTAGAAAAAAATGTTACATTATTCATAACCGGCTGCCACCGCGTGTGATTTCGACTACAGGAGGGAACTTCTGTGATAACAATGATAACAATTTAAAAGTAATTTTGATAGTATTGTTATATTCTTTGATTGTATCTCCTTTAGGTATATATGACGTAGGGATATAGTCAGATCAAATAAAGTTAAATGCCTAGTCATTTAATTAAATGACCAGGAATATGATTAAATGCCTATTTCATGTCAAGCAAATAATAAAAAAGCATTTTATATTATTTTAAAAATTTAAATATATTTTCTATCAGTGATTTATTGCTATTGTATTCATAAAAAAACAATGTATTATTTATTAATATGTAAAACACGTTGGTATATAAAATAATATGTTTATTTTCATGTTCATTATTACCATTATTTTAAAAATAAATATATACAGGTAATAACTAATTAGATGTGATTAGGATTATAATTGAATGCATAAGAAAAAATGATATTAATAAATATATAATTTCATTAATGAATCATTTTCTAGAACAAGAACCCCTCAATAATCATCTCCTACAGCTGATAAAATTATTATGAACATTTATATTACACTAAGATTTCATCACATAAATTCATCAAACAATTAATAGAATAGAATAAAAATAGAACATTCTACACAAAATTAATACTTTTTAAACATCAATAAATCATTATACTGTTTGTACCATAGAAATTTATTATTATATTATATTCAAAATGTTATAACTATTGTCTGAAACTAAAAAACTAGTTAATAATTAGAAAAATTAAGTATTTACAATAAATTATTGGACATCGATTATTATGGATGTATTATATAATTAGTAGGGACTTAATTTACTATTAAGAAGTAGCCAATTTGTGCATAATCATAAATATATATATATATATCTCGCCATTGCTTTCATGTGAGAATTTCCCTCACATACTTTTGAATTTTTGAACCACTGGCTTGCTCATGATTATATTTTTTCCAAGTTTTAATAGATGAGCTCCGTCCCCTCTCAATTTGAGCACTGATTATATCTTTAACCATGGATATAAGTACTTATGAACCAATATAATACCGACTAGAGAAGGAAAGTTTAGTTAATTTTTGTGAATAGTTCATTAGTTCACAATTCATTCAAGAGAATAATTCAGATGAACTATTCTAGGTTCTATTCTAAGTTCACGTAGTTTACTAATTTTATTGATCATACTAATATTGTTAGGCCATGAACTATTCGTTTTATCACTATTAGTACAGCAGTACACAGTTCAATAGTAGTTCACACTACTTATGGGCAATTAAGTATTTCTTATCTAATTGTAAATAGCTGTTTACCACCATTTATAGGATTTCGAACAAGGAGCCACAGAGAATTTTTAAAGAAGTTCGCGAACTATTTCATTTATACAATGCTACCAATTTTTTTCGAACTGTGAACTGCTACGTTACAGGTACTGAAACAGCTCAGAATAGTTCATCAAAGTGAATAGTTCAAACATAGATATATAATATATTATATTATATAGGTATCTATGAGTACAAATGAACTATTCGTTCACGAACTTAACATCTCTATTACCGACGATATGGCGGTAAATAAATGATTCAATAGTTATTTATCTACGTATACGAGTAAAGTATCAAAACAATGGTATCGTTACCAAAAGTACTTATATCGAAAGAAAAGTATCGATTAATAGTATCGGTAGTATTGTAATATCCCTACTCTTCAATGTGTTCCGCAACCATATTTTATTCTCTATCGACCATGTTATCTATAGCCGTGGTTTGAACAAAGAATGCCATTTCAGTTACTACTATATATATTTTACTAACATATTTGTGTTTTTTTTATCCACGTTATTAAGAATATTGTTTACTGGAAACGCCTAATTTTTTTATGTTATATTTAACTGTTAAATTATTATTTTTAGTATTAGCTCTTATTTGATTATTAAATTTACCTTATCGAAGTAAAAAAAACGTCTGAACCATGACTAATGATTTAGTTACATTTAACGTTCGTTATGAAGAATCTGTTTTCAAACTAAAAATGGAAAGTCCTACTGATGTTCATAGATTCATTCAAAAACTGGTAACTTAACTGTGATAACTGATTTTAGTCATTATAACTAATTTAAATGTTCTTGGTTAGTTTTGATTTAATGAAATATTACTTTTAAATTATAATTTTAATTTAATTTACAATAAATATATATGTATGTTAAAATCCATAAATTTCACAAGTACAATTAGAATTTGTTCCAGGAAGAGGAAGAGGCATCAACTAATAAACATTTGACTAATTATTGAAAAATTATATGAATTTACTATTACATCTATTTGCTATTTTTTAAATAAAGTATATTGTTATTTTACCGGACACCCTTTATTTTAAATATTTTTTCTTCATTTCTTCATTTTTGATATGCTAAAATCAGAATTTGGCAATCAGACTTGGTTCCGAAGTTATAGTAGTTAGAAGTTAGCCCACGGATATTCAATATCCAAAGATTTCTATACTTAGACTTACGACACCAACTTTTATTTAGTACCGTGTATTTGTATTGTATTTAAAGCTTGAAACTACTTTTTCTCCTTACCTTATATTAACTAGCTTAAATCTAAGCTTAATGTTCAATAAAATTATATCTTTGTGAATTATTTGATTATAGTATAATACTTTATATTTGTGGTCATTATGATACCTATTTTTTTTTTTATTAATCTATATGATGAAAAAGCCTTTACCATAATCACAGTGCTAGTTATATTTTATAAATAATTTATTAATTTATATATATTAATTTTTACATTTTCCATTACCCTTTTATCCCTGGAACTCGGATCTTTTTGCTTACCCATATTACGTATATTCCCCTGTTGAGAAACAATGGAATATAGGACTATCCATTTCCAAGAAAATTTAAAATTTAAGATACATTGCTCTTAGCATAAACCGATATAGAAATGTCCAATTTTTTAGAACTAGCAAAGAAATTTAGCAATGAGGCAGACCTAAAATTTAATATATCAAAATACTCAATAATTGCTTTTGTTAGGAAAAAAACATTACCATTCTCGATAATCTCCATACCCCATATAAATTCCTAAAGACATTATAATAAATATATGATAGTAGAAAAAGAACAAGATAACTGGAGAAAAGTTATAAATTGGAATAATATACTTGCATGGAAGTGACATTCAAAATCAAACAATAATTAAGAATATTCATTTGTTGTATGAATAATATTAACTTTTTAGATTAAGACCAATTGTATACATAAAAACCTAACTTTTATATATCAACCTTTTCATTAACCTTTCTTTTCCAAAAATTATTTTGACTTCAATTGAAGTCTATGAAAAGTCAATAAGATCTAGAAAATTAGAATATATATATATATATATGTTTAACTGATAGGTTATAACTTTTATTTATTTCATAAAAATAATTTAATTATAAAAAACATATTTCAATGTTCCATTGTACATACAAATCATTTATACATAATTTAGTAAACTACATGTGTTTTACAGAAAAATGAACTGAACCTAGAAGATACTGTTGATCTAATTCTATTATATCCAACGCTTGATGGTAAAATGGTAACATTATTTTATACAATTATATTATTCAGAGCCATGTCAAACATTTTAGCATTACGGGGCAACATTTTTTTCTTCTGGGACACTGGACAGAGGTAGAATATCAAGTGTAGATAAGGGCGCCCTCTTACTTTTACAAAACTACAGCACCAAGGGAAATTGCCCCCTCTGACCCCCCCCCTAACATGGCCCTGTTTTTACTGATTATTAAATAAAATACTTATATTTTATAATAAAATATCTACAATATTTTTCTTGTAGCAAACAATAAAGACTGATGATGATATTGAATCTTTAAAGGTAAAAAAAAATTAATATTAGTCTTTTAAAAATATTTTAGTTATATCCATATAATATAAAATGAATACTTAGTAGATTCTATGAAGAAACTTAATTCAATAATAATTTTATATTTTCTAGGGAATTGTTTTAAATACTTGTTTTATGTGATTACATGATTTTTACATGATATCTTATATTAATTCATCATTATATATTATAATTTTAAATTTTTATGTTTATTTTAATATTTGTAATTTATACATATCTTAGATAAACCATTAAAATGAATAATAAATTATATTAATTGATCATAGGAAACAAAACTTTGCTATAATGCTAAAAGTAAAGAAATATACTGCAGCGTAGAAATTGTGGTAATAGTTATTCATGAATTACTAGAAGATGATCCAAAATCTCAAATAATGGTATTATAAAAAATAAAACTATTTAATAAAATTATACTATGATTAAATAGTTTTCATTCATTTTTTATTAGAATTTAACAAAAAAAGTCAATCGATTATCATCCCAGTTTGATGAATATTTGCTATATTTTGACAATAAACTTAAAGAAAATACATCAAGTGTTCTAGAAAGTATAAGGTATTTAAACCAATAATTTGTATTGTACTGAATAACTAAAATATATTTTGTACAGGTCAATGTTATCTAAACAATCCCAGAAAAATTCTAGCTACAAAGTAACAAAAGATGATATAGGTACATAAAGCTATATAAAACTATTGAAAGAAACCAGTGTTAATAATTGCTTTAAATATATCATTCATTTTTTTTGATTATTTAAGGCGAACAGAGTAAACCTAATGGAACCTTGGATAATGGCCACACAAAACCACAAAAAAAAGTAAAAAAGGATGAAGAAAAAACATCAATAACTTCTGTATATACTGATACTCCTGTAACTATTTTAAATATTAAGTATACTTTTTGAATAATAAAAATTATTAATGTATTATTTTTAAAATATTACAGAAGTTGACAGACTCAGTTAATGACAAAAATCAAGAACAGATACCTAATAACTCCAGCAATACCTCTGCTAAACCAAAAGATATTGATAATTTATTAAAAATGTTGGTTGAAAAAGGATATAATAACACTATACAGAATATTATAGCTTTAAAAAGATTTGATAATGATTTTGAAAAAACCATAAATTATTTAAAATCAAATGCTGTATAGATATTTAAAATTTTATTTCAAGTTTTTTTCTTTTTATATATATATATTATTATTTAATTTTAATGATATTATTACTTTAATAAGCGTTAAAAAAAAAAAAAATCTCTAAGGCAAGAGTTATATTTCATAAATTAAATTTATTTTTATACCACAATAAATAAATAATGTATACACTTTCAATTCTATGGCAGGTAAAAATAATGGTAGTCCAAAATTAGCATCACCTACATAGGCAAATGTTGATAAATTACTTATTTTTAATATTAATTTTTCAACTAAAGTTAACATATTTTTTTTTATTTTAAACTTTATAAGCATTTACATACACACATTATATTCTATATTGAACTTTTGATGAACTAAGTCTATAAACTTTAATACTTGTACAGAATTTGTATTCCAATACTGTAATTATATTATATTTGAATAGTAAATAAATGGTTATAACATATGGTTTTAAATTTATAGGAACAGTTTACTTATAACAACTACCCATTCCTATATCTCGCCCTATTTTTAATAATTTAATAAGCATATAAACATAAAAAGCTCCTAGAAAAGAAGTATGAATACAGACAAAACATATGGCAGGTATTTGTGGACTTCAAAAAAAACCTATGGTAGCATCCATCGCGACAACTTATATAAAATAATGTATGAGTTCGGTTTCCCTAGGAAACTCATTGACAAAAATGTGTATGGACGGAACAAGATACCAAGTTAAAAGTAAATTTTACATTATCCGAAGAATTTGAAGTGATAACAGGACTTAAGCAGAATGTCGCACTATCGCCAATACTTTTCAACATAGCATTAGAAAAAGTAATACGCAGTGTACAAAGTAATAAACTCAGAGTTAATATTGACAAAACCACGCTAGATGTGCTAGGTTTTGCAGACGATCTAAATTTAGTAGGAGAAAACAAGAAATTAACTGTGCGAAATACCAAAACACTCATACAGGAAGCAAAAGATTGGTCTAGAAATAAATGAGGAGAAAACTAAAGCAATGGAAACGTTGTCTGAAATAGACGAGGAAGACTTTACAGTAGATAATTACGTATTCGAGAAAGCACATAGCTTCAAGTACCTAGGTGTAACAACTGAAACACCGAAATAACCAGTCGCTTGCTCTAAGGCGTAAGGACTTTTTTTTTTCACTAATAAAATATTTCAAATCAAAACTATTCTCTAGAGGAACAAAAGTACGACTGTACATGAGTATTATAAGACCAATGCTAACCTATGGGTGCGAAGTATGGCAGAAGTAGTGCAGATTGAACAAAAACTCAAAAGTTTTGAGAATAGAGTAGTACTAAGAACAATATGTAGACCAGTTTTTGATACCGAAATAAACAGGTGGCGTAGAAGAAAAAACAAAGAAATATGGGAAATCACCTAAGTACCTCCCATAACAAGTTATGTAAAGGGACAGAGAATCCAATGGTTTGGACACATAATGAGACAAGAACAAACAAATGAAGTTAGAGCAGCAATTGAATACAAACCTAGGGGCAGACCCAAGAAACGATGGATGGATAGAGTACAGTGAGATCTAGAGAGACTAAAACAGAATGGGAAGAAAGGATACAGGATCGTGATTATTGGAGAGCAGTGACGGTGGCAGCTAAAACTCTAACAGAGTTGTGAAAGCAAATAAGAAGAAGAATTAATAAGCATATATTTTTTTCTAGTTCTTTTTCATTTACATAAAATCAATCCTAAAATATTAAAGTTATATGTAACAACAATTTTAAGTACATGAGTAAAAAAAAAATTCATAATAAAATCAAAATATCTTGATTCTCGGTTTATGCATAAATTTTAGATGTACACTGATTTTCAAATTTTTTTTTTTTTTTTATTTAATTACTGATTTAGTTATCTTTTATTTAATAAAGTATATTTTGAATAATATATCAGTAAATATTAATAACAATGTGACTAAATAATAAACAAGATCATTAAAAATAAATTACACTTTTTTTTTAAATATTTACGTTTATATTACATCAAAAGAAATTATCTTAGTCATCAATATTATGATTAAATATCTAGTTCTGATTATAATAACAATTTTGATTACTATTGAAATTATAACTATTCTTATCAACATATTGAGATACATTATGCTCTCTATAATACACTATATACTGAGGATAAAATTCATAGTCATTAAATTTGACATATACCATACCATTTTTTGATAGAGCTGTATCAAATGAATTGGGTATCATATTTAAACCATAATTGACACTAATATCTTTAATTTTTTGTACTAAAACTCTACAAATAATAAATGCTCGCTCGACCAACATTTCTAAAAAAAAAAAACAAATGTATAATAAAAGAATAATTTTGATTATTAATCAAACTAATAATATAATTTATTTTACCATTATTAAAATTACGTCTAGATGGTACAAAAGTTTCAGCATAATTATGATCTGTAATATGATCCAAAAGCCATTTAGTTGCTTGGTCTATTCCTTGATTAAATGTAAAAAATAAAGCTTTTTTAACTGCTTCTTTTGGAAATCCCATTGTCAAAAGTTTATGCATTAAATTCTCATCATATTCAACTTCATGTGTTGATCCTATTTAAATCAATTAGGAAATAAATTAATTTAAAAAATAATATTTTTATATTACATTAAAAATTATACCAATAGCACATGATGCATATCTATTAGCATATAATGGACAATATGAAAAGCATACACCTTTTCCATATCTACAACGACTTGTATAACGCCAATCCAAATTATTTTCAGCGATTGACTGAACATTTTTTGTTGCTGTAACATGATATAAAAGCCATTCATTGACTTCGTAAGTATCATCATTAAACTCCATTTCATTTTTTTTCAGGGTATACAAACCCCATAAAAGAGGATTTTGAACTTTGTGAACACTAATTACCTAAAATATCAAATTTAAAATTAATTAATCTATAAACAATAAATAATTAATCAAACTTACATCAAACAGATCATATAAACGTCTAATCTCTTTAATATTATACAGTTCTGAATCAATAGTAAAAGGTTCAATAGAAAAATTCATATTTTCAGCTATAAAAATATAACATTAAATAATATTTGTTATGAAATTTTTTGATTTAATAAATGTATTAATCCATCCATGTATTTTTCATTATTTCTCATTTTAATATCAATAAATTATTTTTAAAAAAAAAATTTCTTAATAAAGTACAAAATATACTAATATGGATGGAATCATGCATTAAAAATTTGAATTAATATGCATAAATTACTAATCTATTTAATTTAGGAAATAATTGGTGAGCCATTAGTGATGAATTAAGGAGAGCCTGTTATAAACACAAGCATATGTATTGAAATACTAGTTTTATTTTGAAATTAGAAGGCTTTACTCCAAAAATTGAATACCATAAATCAATGAGTCTATTAAAAGCTATGAAATTTTTTTTTGATTTTTCAAGATACCTCAGAACGGAGTAAAGTTCTAAGAAATTAAAATTTCATATCAAGTACCTGATGTTTCTTTTTTAAAGTTAGGACCCTACATTTTTTATCCAGTACTAAATCCAGATACTTAACTCGTGTGTTGTTAATAATTAAAAAGTATTAAATTATTGGAGGGCATTCTAAAGTATGGAGAAAGTAAACTAAGATGATTTAGTTTAATTGGCTAAATTTTCCAATCATTAGACCATAAGTTTAGGTCAGTGGTATTAGATTTTATGAGCTGCCTGAATACCTAGGATTTCTGTAAATAATTAGAACTAAGAATATCAGTATCATCTGCAAATTTATTTAGAAGAATGTTTTTTTTTTTTTAAAGGTAAGTCCCTTAGTAAAGAATAAGACATAAGAATAATAAGTATGTGTTATCACAGCCTTGAAGAACACCTATAGTTAATAATAAAAAGTTAGAATTGGTTAAGTTAGCAGGTCACGAGTCTTAAACTCACGATACTAATGCCCTTAAAAATATTCTTCATATTGATAGTTACAAAATAAAATAAAATAGTATACGTACCTACCTGATGAAATAAGTCACTAAAGTATACAATCAATTGTATTGAATACTATAATAGATACACCCACATTTTAAATCTATTTACATTATTATTGAAAAAAAAATAAAAACAAAGTACAATTCGTAAATTTTAATTTAAGTATTGATTACAAAAGTAATATTTAATATTTTTAACAGTCTGTTGATTTATTTAGTTTGTTTCCCAAATTGTCGACATTCATCAAAATATTTGAATCAAATGGCACCTATCAAGATAATAAACATTAAAAATGGTTTTTCTCAAATAATAAGTTTAAATTTAGATTAATGTACTGATAACACCACTAGGTTATACAAATATATAAAATTATACGGAGATTTTTTTTTTAAACCGAATGTACGTTGTTATTAAAATTACGATTAGTTATTAAAGTTACGATTCACAGAAATTTATGTCGGCCAACATCAAGTATCCGGTTCAATTCCAATAAATCGCTATAATGTACTATTTCTACGCAACAATAAATTAAAACAATTCTATCTTTACAATTAACTGTTAGCATTTTTTCGTAAAATGTAAACCTGGCTTAAGCGAGCTACACACGTGCAGTTACAACTGTACGATTCGACTGTACAATTTTATCTGTACAGATAAGTCTTACGTGTGTAGGCTAAAGGTGCGTCTAGACGGAGCAGCTTTTGCCGCGCGGTATGAGTCTGAATACATGAATACATTTTACGCGGCTTTTTTTGATGCTGTCCGGCATAATTTCCGATCGGCCTAGTAGGCGGTCCACATCAAAGGAAAGCCGCGCGGCATCAGTACTTATTTTTTAAGTAGGTATTTAAATTTTGGCGCTAACTGATTTAATAAAAATTGGGAACTAAATGCCGCACCGCGTGGACGTGTATTTGCCGTGCGGCAAAAGCTGCTCCGTCTGGACGCGCCTTAATACAACATTTTTTGAACTGTCCAGTTGATCGGAAATAAATTGAAAGTACCAATTGATAAAACTGCGACAATTAAACTGTACAGATAAGACGATCCGTGTGTAGGCAAACTGTACACTGTACAGTTTTAATTTCATTACAGCCACACGGCAAAGTCAATTCGTAATTTTAAAAACTGAATAACAACATATTTTATACTATTAGTTATTATCCTCGCCATTTAAGTTATAGCAACAAAAATACGTGAGTGGACGGAAGAATTAATTGAAATGTATCGTTCTGAACAGTGTTTATGGAAAGTCAAGCGAAAAAATTATCATGATCGAAGCAAAAAAGATGCTGCTTATGCAAAATTAACCTAACTAAAGAAAAAAGATACAAAAGTATCTTCATGCCATATATTCGCCTATACTCTCAAGAAATTATTACAAAATTACGGGTATTCTCAAACCACAACAAAGGATAAAACTTTGGTTACTCAGATAATGCCTCGAAAGTAAATGTAGTTTATTTTTGAAATCACATTTTTTCCTGCGATAAGGTAAATCAATAATTATTTACGATATCGATAGCCGAAATATTGTACGTTATTTGGCTACAGTAATCAGAGGTAGACTGGAACTAAACATTTCACTGGGATTTAAAACTAGAGAACTAAAGTAGCCACATCTAAATACCGACCTATTGTTTGCATACATAATGGTACATTTAAAAGATCACTTTTATTAATAATACCATCAACATTGTTAATTATTTTAGGGAAGTATAGTTTCAGAAATATTCAAGGTGCCCCAGGGCACTGCCTTGCTTCGCCCTATGATAGCTATGCCACTGGTTACATTATATCCTAAACTAAGGCATCATGATAAATTTTTCAATTACTTTAGAATATCCATTAAATCATTTGATGACCTATTGAAGATAGTTAAAGACTCCTTAGAAGCTGATCAAAATGTCCCTTATGGCAGGCTAACCTAACCGTGCTCCTAATATTTTTGAAGAGGAAAAATGTTAACAATAGTTTTTACAAATTAAAATTAGATAGGTTAAAAGTTTGCTATTGTATAAAATCGTAATGTTATCAATAACTTGAATGGGAGTTATAGGCAATCCTCGATGATTGACTTGAATACCTAATAAATTTATTAACTGATCCATGACAATCAGTTTTGGAAAACGATAACGTTTCAAAAATGTATAGTCATTGTATTTTTCAAACGGGTCTTCTATACGAATATACTTTCTTGGCATTTGTTCAACATCAAATTCATCGAAATTTTCATCAACTATTTCTACATAATTAATAACGATATAAAAATCATCTATACTACTATATTTTAGTAATACAATTCTTTAAAATTTATAATTTGAACACGAAAAAAATATTAATATTAATATAAAAGTATAAAAATATTGATTAAAATATAATATAACACAATATATTAAAACTAATATATTATATTATTAATCAAGAATCGAGTTATTTCTTGTTTTATTCTAATTACAATTAATTTATTATTTAAGTATTTTTTATTTATTTGAAATTTAGGTTGCTTTGAACTCAAATTAATGTCATCCAAATCATCAGACTGTATATTAAAATTTAAAACATCCTTATTCAGTTAAATTTTTTTCATCATGGTCGTTATGTTCATATCGTTCATGGATAGATATTTTATTTGCTTTTGAATCATCAAATGATACTTGACAGACATGTCAAAATTATTTATTCGCGTTTATGTTCTCTGTTTCATTTTATTTTTAATATTCAAAATTGAAGGACATATTTAAAATTAGTCTAACTACTTGTCGTGTTTTTGTTGATTTAAATAATTTCACAAAAAGGGTACTATATCACTACAGGCAGTGGTTGAATTGAAAAAAAAAAATAAAGGTGGACTCTAAATGTAGCTGAACAATTAGCGTTCCAAAGCAAATTAATCTAAAAAAAACCGTGGGGGATTTTGTCCCCCCCACCACCTAAATGCATCTACAATATAAATAATTAAATATATCTAATGATTAACACAGATATCTATAACAAATAATAAACAATACTAATAGGTATTTTTTTGTATTAATTCTATCAACACAGCAACACGTCTAGCAAATTTAAAATCTAAAATGTAAATATATAGTCACATGATAAAATTAATTAATCAATTAACTTTCAATTTAAAATAATTCATGTATTTTACTGTTGCCTACAAAAAGTAAATATTAAATTTATAGATTATAAATGTTACTCTTTAATTAGTATATTAATTTTTTTTTGTCAATATTAATTTTAATATTTGAAGTTTAATATTAGTCAAATAATTTATTTCATCCCGTCACATTATTTTTAGGACTAAGATTTGCTGAGAGTTAAATAATAATTATTTTTATCATAGTTATGTATATGTATTGCTTTAAAATGTATGACCAAAAAAATTTAAGGAACTTTTAACTGTATTTATTAACTTTTTTTTTAGGTAGGTACTAGGTACTTAAGTAAAATGGGCTAATAACTTTTTTTGGAAAATCAAGTTTTTTTTATAAATTTTATCAAATTACAAAAAAATAAAAATTGCCGGGACTGGCGTTCATTGATAATCAGATTGTACATCAGTTTTTCTAATAAATTTTATTTCTACTTTTTTTTTTTTTTAAGGCGGGATTTATGAGGGTGGATTATCAAAAAAAAAAATAAAAGTACACCGGTAACAGGAATCTGCGCACGTCTATGATTTATTATTAAATTAAAGTGTTTTAATTACCTTGGTTATTGTTTTTCTTTTTATTGAAAAAGTCCGATATGGACAATTTTTGACGTTTATTCATGTTTATTTGTTTATTGCTGACGTGACATGTAGGACTGTAGGAGTGCGGTTGAGGTGTTTACTATTTTCAACAAAATTACAATTTATAAATTATATACGCGAGTACGCGACAAGCTAACATAACACCGATTACTCATTCGTGGCGCACCTCGTTTCCAAATAAAATATAAATAATATTTAATTTTCCTTGAAAACGATCACCATTTGTTAATCGTCGATAACTAAAACAACGGACGGATTCTCAAAATACGGAGTCAATATATTATTATTGTCAATGGTTTACTAAGGATCGTTATATCGGTACACCCAGGGAAGTTTTCGTAATAATTATATTTTTAGCAATTTAGCAGCTTATACCACGAATTAATACGCAGTGAAAACACTTGAAACGTGTTACATAAATTATATAACATTATTATATATGTTATTATTGCGTTCCTAATATACATATGTGCTAATAATAATGAACAGATTACGAACTAATACCAAAAATTAAATAAAATATTAATCGTTTCCAATTTTTTTTCATATTTATTTAATTTTTCTTAGAAACAAATTCATATTCATATAATTGTTGAAGGACGCTGCGTCCCCTGCGTTCCTTGATGAATTAAATTAAGGGGTACGCTATAATATGAAGAAAAATGAAGAGTAGCTCAGACCCTCTGCGTCCCCCCCCAATTCAACCACTGACTACAGGTAGGTACGTATAAGTACTGACAATACTGTACATAATATGTATTCATGTTATAAAATATAATAAAACAAATGAAAGAAAGTATTTAGATGATGAAATTTATCTTTTATTATTAAAGTACTTGATTGATAATTGATTAATAATAAAACCATGAAAACTAGATATTTATCTATATATATACCTAGTCTTCATGATTAAAACAATAAAACAATGAGCTTATTGATAATAAATTATATCCATATTAGAAATACGTCAAAAATTTGAATTGGACCGATAAGGACACGACATTAAAAAGACGTGCAGTGGCGTTCTGGGTAACTTAATACACAGCAGGGTCGAGGAAAGAATAAAAAAAGAAAAGAAAACCTCTTCAAATGAAGACATTGGCAACACAAAGCCTAACAACTTGCTTGGATATATTAACGTGAAGCATCAGAATTTTCAAAAAAATTTGTATGAGAAATATTTCATCCATGTTATGAATAACAAATAAATCGCTATATTGATCCTTCTATTCTCGCACACGCTAAAGAAAATAGTTAGAAATATTTAAAAATAAATAAATCGAAACGATATTCAAGTAAGGGTAAATAGAAATTATTAAACCTACAACAGACCTTAGTATTAAGTTGGTTAATGTCTTTTTATAATTAAAATAAATTTTTGTACCTAAATAAAAACTTCTACATTTAAATAATATTCCGCGGCACACGGATTAACAAACCGTAATGGAAACAATGATGAGACAGCTAATCTATGTACAATGTTATTTGTCATATTCTATTTCAGTTTGTTAAATCATTACATTCGTACAAATTACATTTTTTATGATTACTGCCAAGAGTATATGAGTATTAATATTAATAACAAATAAATTAAAAAACTAAGTCTTTTTAAACATACTTCTTTTATGGCGATTGACAAGTGTTTATAAATATTATTTATTTTTATAAGACACAATTTTTAATATTTAATTCATATTTCAAATAACAATACATTGTTATATCCTAATATGAGATATAGCCTAATAGTTTTAGGAAAAATCGTTTTAAACTTAAATGAGAGGGTATATAAACTATTACAAGCTAACAGATCATAGTATTCCATCGGTTAATGTGTTAAAATACATTTTTGTAAATAAAAAACATTTAAATTTAAATAATATTTTTTGGCGCCCTACTGTGACGGGAGCAATGATGAGACAGATAATCTATGTCTAATATTACTTGTCTTATTCTATTCACGTTTGTTATTAATTTTCATTCTTACAAATTATGTTTTTTATAATTCTTGCCCATTATATGTATATTAATACTAATGAAATAAAAAAATTAATTATTATTTCTTTTTCTTTTTATTAGAGTAAACAGCCGAAATTTAGGAGCCGATTAAAAGCGAAATAAACTTATTAGTGACAATTACTTATCTACTTACTCCCAGGAATAACGGTACGTCGTTTTTATTTTGAATAACAACTTTAATTATAACAAAATTGATCAAATTTATGTTTTTAAGCTTCGACTTAATTTTTTTATATTTAATCCATTAAATAACCTTATTTTACTTAAAATAATTAAGTATTCTTTATTATGTAAATAATATTTTTCCATTACTTAAATACATTTTTCTCCTTTCTTTATTTAGTTAAATTATTAATATTCTAAATTTATAAATTAAATTTCAATTTATTTGAATTGGTATTTATTTTTTATTATTAAATATATTTTTGTGTTTCACCTGCATGAGTAATCTCTAGATGCCTTTTCATTTTTTCTTTTGTTATTAAAGTATTCGTTTTTATTAACAATTTAAATATAATGTTGTTAATATATTTATTTATGTTTTTTCAGTACATAAATAATGTTTAAAATTATGACATAATTTATATATTTCCCGGTCATCAGGCACAAGGAAACTTTTTTTACTTACTTCTTTTATCGCGACTGAAAAATATTTAAAAATATGATTTTGATGTTGTAAAATGTAGTACATTTTCAATATTTAATTTATATTTCAAATAAAAATATATTGTTATATTTGTAGATAGTTATATTCTAGCATGCACTATAGAGTAATAATTTTAGTAAAAATCGTTTTGAAACTTAAATGAGGGTTTATAAAAACTTTTTCAACTTTAACAGACCTTAGTATTTCATTGGTTAATACTTTTCATAATTAAAATAAATTGTTGTAAATACAAAACATTTAAATTATTAATACTCTAAATTTATAAATTTAATAGGATTAGTAATTTTTTTATCATTATTTAATTTTTTGTTTTTTGTTTCGTCTGCGTAAGTAGTCTCTAGATTTCTGAATACACCTTATAATTTTTTCTTTTGTCATTAAAGCATTCATTTTTTGTTATAATGTA